TAGGCTCCGATACTAAACTAGCCTTGTTTTGTTCTTCTTCAATTGTTGAAGAAGGCTTTTTGTTAGAGGAAGGCTTGTTGTTAGAAGCCTCTGATGCTTGTTGTAAAATTGGTAATAATTTAATTGGTTTTTGTTGTGTTGATGATGATGATTTGGAGGCTATTTGGGATTGATTTACTACTCCACTACTTCCTCGTTGTTGTTGTTGTTGTCTATTGTAATGTTGTTGTTGATGTCTACTACTCTTATTTGATGAAACTGCTGGTGACATTTTATTCTCTTCAATTATTCAGCTATTATTATTATTTTGCAAATCATCAGTTAATTTGTTGAACAAAATATATTCACAATATATTAACCCTTTAGTATTATGAAAATGAAAAATTGGCAAAGGTTCCCCCTGTTTTCGAGTCGCTTGTTTGCGACTAGCTAGGACTAATAAAATTTTATTTTTACGACAATTATTGCAGGGCGATAGGTTTTTGGTTGGTGGATAGTGGTAAAAATTGTTTGAACCAAAAAAAGGATTGATTTGTTGTAAATGTACAACAAATCGAAAATAAAAAGATATATTTCATTCGCCCAATACTGTACTAATTCTCTCCTCTTGAATAGTACCAAAAGGATACTAATCTTCCACCCAGAGTATTCTTTCGATTACCCATCAATAGTGGTGAGGCCAAGATTCAATACTTAATTGAGTGAAATCTATATATCTTTGAGTTAATTGTTTAATAATAAATGTGTTTTTTAAGGTGAAAATCTACAAAACACTTTTGATGAATGTAGGAACTACAAGCAGGACATTTGATAGGAGTGAGAGAATGAACATTCTTACAATGCTCACAAAGTCCACGAGTTTTGACACTGGATGGGAAATGCATTGTTCTTTTGAAATAAGGGTTGGTGGATTCACAATCCGATAATGTTGCCTCTTGCAAATATTCATAGAGGGTCAAGTTAGATAGTTTTTTAACATGCTTATAAATTAAATATTGATTGACGAGAGCAATACGTAAAACTTCAAAGAGATGGATGATTTTCCAATTATTTACCTTGAAGGGAGCATCCATTTTGTGAAGATAGATACCAGACAAATCAACACAACCCATACTTTCATTGTAATATTTCTGAACAAGTGGTTGTGAATGAAATGTTTGATTACTCCCTAAATTAGTTAAAAAATTAAC